TATTATATCAGCGGAATATCTCACAATTGCCACTAAAAGCAATGATGATTAGATGTCTACTATACATCTGTTTCAAACGAGAGACTAGCACACAATCCTGTTCCTAGATATTGACTTTAAAGCAGCATTTTCTTAAAGGGGTCATATGATGCAATTTCAATTTTTCCTTTCTCTTTGGAGTGTTACAAGCTCTTGGTTCATAAAGAAGATCTGTAAAGTTGCAAAGACAAAAGTCTCAAATCCAAAGAGATATTCTTTATAAAAGTTAAGACTCAGCCACGCTAACCTAAAACGGCTCGTTCTAACACGCCCCCCCCCCCACATGTCTAGGTCAAGACGTGGGAAGATTTGCATAACGCCGCCCAAATGTTCACGCAAAGAAAGAAGGCCTAACTTTTATTCTCGCTGTAGTATTGTTGCTGCCGCCATGTCTTGAAGGCACTGTGTGTTTCGTTGTGAAAGCGAAACCACTTTGTTTGGCCTTCCAAAAGACGACAGGACTAGAAATCAGTGGTTAAGTTATATTTACAACACTGTTCCAGAACAGTTCAACCCAAATATTCAGATGTGTGCAGCACATTTTATGGAGGACTGTTTCCTGATCCTGGGAGAGTAGACTACAATGCCGGCTGTTCTGACTCACAGACTATAAGTATGTTTTTTATAGTTAAAGAATTTGCCACCGACGATTCAAACGCGAGTTTTGGGCAGTGTAGAGTAGCATTTGTTGTTTGTCATTTCTCAGATCACAAATGCAAACGTGGTTTTATTTTTACGCGGCACGATGCAACCGTAAAAAGACAGTACAAGTCATTATAATCCATAATTATGTCCCCACTGAATGCAACAAATGCCTCGTTTATAATGGGTTTTCATGTTTTTGAATCATAGCTCCTGTGTCATGAGAAATCGAGTCCCCCCTCAAAATCGGGTCTGCTTAGGACCATGGCGGTAGCTGTTTTAAATGCCTTCTCAAAACTCAACACTTATGTTACTATTTCGTTGTGAATATATGTATGGTAAGTGCAAATGCATGATGTATAAGTTAACCTAGCAGGCTAATCGGGTAGCTGTATGCTATGCTAGTACGTGAGCTAACCAAAAAAAACAAAAAAACAATAAAAACGAGAAATGTTTGATTTCACAACCTATAGCTTCGGATACTAGTGTATGAAACATGTAACTTAAAAGACATTAATGGTCATTATAATGAAGTTCAAACAACATAAATCAAAGCGCAATTTTGCAGGAATTGTAATCAGGCGCTAAAAAGAATACCCATTAAAAGTTCGTTGAACCAATGGGATCACTCGGGGTCCTAAGCGGACCCGATTTCGAGGGGGGACTCGATTTCTCATCATCACAGTATGTGAGGGGCATAACATTTCCATCACACGCTTGAGGTATTCGGCCAATCACAACGCACTGGATAGCTGGCCAATCAGAGCACACCTCGCTTTTCAGAATGATGAGCTTTGTAAAAATCGATGCGTTTCAGAAAGGCGGAGCATAGAGGAGAAACAATAATGTACAGTATGTGGAAAATAATGTGTTTTTTTTACCTTAAACCGCATAAACACATTTCATTACACCAAATACACAAAATAATGTTATTTTTAGCAACATCATATGACCCCTTTAACCAAACACACCTGAGCATGGGGATCGCTGACAGGTTGTTTAGAACAGACTTAGGTCTATTCTGTGCATGAATAAACTATGCGTGCAACTTCGCTGACCACACAGAGAGGTTGAATCATAATCATTGATGAAAACTCTGCGTGACCTTGGGCATTGCCCCTCCCCTCCTAACCCTTGTTAGTCCTCACGTCCATACCCAGAAACGCCACATTCCATAACTCTTCATAAAAACCATTATTAGGGAAATCCTTTCTTTTTGACAATTTAATAGTGCAAACCAATCATGTGGGTGACACCAACCATTCATCTACCATCAGAGACAAAGAGCAGGCTTCTTCGCCATGCCGACGGGAGTCTGCGCTATTTTCAGAACTAATCCACAATGCAAGCATTGTATCTCCATAATCGTTATGTTTAGGAAACCAATCATAAGTCCAGTTTTTAAGACTCACACCAAATGCACTTGTCAGCTCATTAAAAAGGGTGAGGTTTTTGTTCTTCACACATAGGTTATGATTTCTTTTGTAATCAATTTAGCAGATTCAAGGCAATTTTGCAACATTCTCCAGTGGGACTTAACAAGACAGAAAAAAATGTTTCCTCAGAGGATTCACCTTTAGGAGCGCCTCAATAAAAGAGACATGAGCTCCACGCATCAGCGTATAATTTTTAATATATATGCAATAAATGTTCAATTTGTTTTCTGCAATGACGGGAAATAATTTCGTCATATTTTAAAGCCATTATTACATCCGTACTCCCACTCGAGCTCCTTGTGTTTGATTAAGTCATTCTGAGATTGTAGTTGATAGTTAATAACGATACTGTTATGTTTAGGAAACCAATCATAAGTTTGATAGGTTTCTTTTATTTTAAATTTTTGGATTGCGACATTGGCCAAGTAAACAAGACTATACCAGTTATGTCCTGATTGTATTATTGTAAGGCCATGAACAAAAGCACTACCGAAGTAGCCCAGTTTTTAAGACTCACACCAAATGCACTTGTCAGCTCATTAAAAAGGGTGAGGTTTTTGTTCTTCACACATAGGTTATGATTTCTTTTATATTTAATGGTTCTGGAGTGTTATTTATTTTCGTGCTGTTATTTAGCCTATATGTTGTTTAGTGTATCTTCTAATGATGTATTTTTTTATCTTATATTTGCCACTGTATATAAGGGGTTTATCATCCAAAATCACCCAACGTACATGTTTCTGACGTTATCAGTGAGATTAGATTATTAAAATTAAAAATACCATTTTCACTTAATTAAGGTAATTGATTTTTATGTCATAATAGGCTACAAAAAAAAACATTTGACTTCTTAATTTACTGATTATTCTTTAATCGAAATACACGTCCGAATAAAAATCAGTCATTATTAAAAATAATAATAATAATACAAATTCTAACATTTTCGTTTTTATTATGCATCCCATTATTCCACATCAGCTTGAGTGCAACCTACATATCACTGCAGTGACAATAGCTCATGTCATCCTGAAATTTTTGAAAAGCCTCGGCAATTTGGAGTGACAGTCATTATCCCATCCATTTAGCGGAATCGCGGGTCCACTAACTAAAGCAATAATAATACAGAATACTCTTCAAGTGAGTCTGATTTAATGTTTAAAAACCTGTGTTAAGACCCGGTAAATGTTGGGGAGAAAAAAAACGAGCCCAAATGGCCTTTATAAATTCCAAAAACAGCCGTTTAATAAATCACAGTTTTAAATTGTATAACAAATCAAAATAAAGTAGCCTATCTAACTATTTTCTAATGTTGCACGGCCATAGCATCGTACTAGCCTACATTTTAAACCCTCGCGTTCATATAGGTATGCGATGTTTCCTTCATCAATAATTTGAGAGAAATCTTTTAAAAGTCGATTTTCTGCATCCCTTTTTTTCTTTTGTTCCTTCTCCTCGCTTGTCCAGAATTACGTTCGTTTCGCTCTATTTCTGATCCTGTTTGTGCTATTCCTTTATTCTGGGTTCGATACACAGCTGCGGAGAGAATACAGTCTTCTTTTTCGATAACAAGCACATTCCTTTTGACTACAGTCTTTGATTTCTCTGGCTTTACGCACAGTCTTTGACTCTGAGATGTCAATCCGTCTCTTTTGTTGAGGTTTGGCTTCTATGCAGATTGGACGGAAAGCCCATCGTCCGATGTGATGGATCCGTTTCGAAATAGGGAAAGGTTAAGGGTGGAAAAGTGAAAGGGTTTCCCTGGTAATTGCTTCAGTTTTTACGAAAATGCTTTACTCCGTCACTGTTTTCTTTTTCAAGAGACTGAGATATCAATGCATTAATTTTAGTCATTACATCTGCTTTGACTTGAGATCAAATGGTAATATATTTTCCAAGTTCATCGAAATCGGTCACTTCCAAATAATTATATCCTACACGGTTTATATGAAATAAACAGTTTATCTAAAAATGCGTTCACGTGACGCAGTGCAGAATAAACTGAATTATATTGTGCGCAAGACATTCAAAGGCAAAAGCAAAGCATTACACTATAGAATGACTATTTGTTTTGTTACGGTTTTTACCACTCACTGCAAGATATCTATACAAATCTGCTCTTTATCAATATGAGCTGCAGTTAAACACTGTGATTCCTCTGAGAATATCATCTATTTGCAGCTGCTCTGCCACGTTTGGCTGATGGTTCGAGCAGTGCAGTGATCTCAGAGGAAAAAACACTGCACAGCACTCCGGCGGTCGCTAAAACCGAGTAACATTCAGCATTAGACAAAATATCCAACAGATCTCAGTTCAGTTAAAAGAGATTTTAAGAGTGTGAGAGTTTAAAAAAGCATAAACTTAAAACGTTAAAATGTACTGGCTACTTACAGTGCCGTGATGCGCCTTTCCGTTTGGTATCCTGTCATATCCTAACAGTGGGTTAATGTAGAGTTTGTCTTGTCTTTTTCTGGGAGATTCACTTTAACAAGTGGAAAGTTTGTGTCCTTCTGCGCCATTTTATACATGATGAGCCGTCAGTAATGGGATTATTAAACAAAAACGGTTTCAGGCGCTGGCGTTAACCTTTTTTAATGCCTAATTAGGTTTTGCAAAGGAATAATTAGATTTTGCATCGCTTACATTGCCTATATTTTCAACTGACGTATAAACAATTTCATCTTTATCCGACCCTCTTGTCGATCAGCTTAACAATATACATTTAGCGTGACTGTATACAAGATGATTTAAAAATATGCTGTGATCAAATATTGTACATAAATTAATTATGTTGCACATTTGCCCGCATCACTGCTGTAATGCAATGAAGAGAGCGCCCTCTGTGTGCCAAGAACACTTATCGCACATTTTTCTTTATTTTTATGCTCAACCCTGAAAAGTACACAAAATGAAACACATAGCCTGCAGTTGACGACACATCTGCTTGAGGCAGTTTACCTGCTTTTGATCTAAAAGTCATGACTGTCATGAGGATTTTACTAGCTTATATACAAATTAAAGACATATTTGCCAATTTAAAATGGGAATAGTTCAGGCTCGGTTTACTGCCCTGTTGAAAAAAACAGCATATGCTGGTTAGGTATGTTTTGACGACAGTTTACCTGCTTTTGATCTAAAAGTCATGACTGTCATGAGGATTTTACTAGTTTATATACAAATTAAAGACATATTTGCCAATTTAAAATGGGAATAGTTCAGGCTCGGTTTACGGTGGGATGCTGTTGAAAAAAACAGCATATGCTGGTTAGGTATGTTTTGACGGTGGGATGCTGGTTTAAGCTGGTCCTTTGCTGGTTTATGCTGGTCCTTTGCTGGTTTATGCTGGTCCTTTGCTGGTTTATGCTGTCATGTGCTGGCAAAGGACCAGCATAAACCAGCAAAAGGACCAGCAAAGGACCAGCATAAACCAGCAAAGGAACAAACATACCTAACCAGCATATGCTGTTTTTTTCAACAGGGTGGTAAAGATACAAGCCGTTAGTTAAACTTAAGTTACGTTACGTAACACAAATTACATGACATCGTGAACTGTTTATCCACTGAACATCTCCTCGTAGAATGTTCAGTACAAAATGCAAGGGAGATGTCAGGTCGAAAAAGGTGATGAACCTCTTCCAAAACACGGAGAACGACTCCAAACAAGGTTTTCTTTTAAAGTTATCATTAACATTGCAAATAAACAAATAAAGTATATGTTAAGACAAACATTTTTAAACCAGCATAAACCAGCAAAAGGACCAGCAAAGGACCAGCATAAACCAGCAAAGGAACTAACATACCTAACCAGCATATGCTGTTTTTTTTTCAACAGGTAAAGATACAAGCCGTTAGTTAAACTTAAGTTACGTTACGTAACACAAATTACATGACATCGTGAACTGTTTATCCACTGAACATCTCCTCGTAGAATGTTCAGTACAAAATGCAAGGGAGATGTCAGGTCGAAAAAGGTGATGAACCTCTTCCAAAACACGGAGAACGACTCCAAACAAGGTTTTCTTTTAAAGTTATCATTAACATTGCAAATAAACAAATAAAGTATATGTTAAGACAAACATTTTTAAATACTTTTTTTAAGGTACGGGGGATTAATAGGTTTAATATATGGTTTTAAACATTACGTTAATTGATTGTGCGCCCGGTGATTGTGTATTAATCCCAATCTATCTAAAGCACTATGTGATTCATTATAGTGGTGTTGATTTAGTTGTGGATGGAAAATTGTGCGTTTGCTTGAAATAGGCCTAGTTATTAATCTAACACCCACACAACGTTTCGCTCTGCTATGTTATTTTGTAAATTGTCATTTTGTGTGAAGGAAAATTTATTTTCGGCCAGTTAAGGTTAATTTGCTTAGCCTACTGTGCAATGTGCACCATCTTCACAGCATTAACATGTGCACAAGAGCACACTTGGGCGGGTCGGAAAAACGAAAGGGCGAGGAGGAAGAAAAGACAGCAGAAGGATGCTCACCGAACTTCACCTAAATATCCTTTATTCGCCGTTATTTCTTGATGTTTTTGTTTTCTGAAGATGTACCTATATATTTCTAGGATGACTAAAATTTTACATTATATAAACAGACTTTTAGGGGGAAAAAAATCGCTTGACTGCAATTGTGTTATGGTAGACTTAGGCTAAATGGGGAACTGCGTTTTAATGTAGGCCTATGCCACGCACATAATGGGTGAGTATCGCTTAATTAAAATGTATCGCCATTATGATTTTTGTAACGCAATGCTGCATATGGCAAAAAGGTCTTCTGAGGTGGTCGGCTACTTTATCTTTATTGCATGTTTCTAAACTTACGTAGCACGTATCACGTTAAACGTTCGTACAATATTCTTCAGTCCACTAATAGGCTACATATTCAACGTCAAACGTAGGCTAAAATTATCCCTATTGCACCTTAGGTTGCAGGAAAAGTCCATCAACTTCCCATACATGTTAAATACGGGCCTCATCGATAGCCTGATAATCAATGCACTATGGCATGATAATTTGTATCATGACGCTAAAGAGAGTTCTACATTGTGATTACGAAAGTCCTTTGTTTTTGATAGTTTATTTCGATAGATATGGGCCAGTTACGTTAATGTAGTACATTTTCTAATCACTGTTAATGCACACACACAATGTTAATGCGCGCGCGCGCACACACACACACACACACACACACGTATTTGGGTAAAATCATCTACATAATGCATAATGTATGTAATGCTAAATACAATAATGTAGTCATTATTGATTTTGTCAGTTTCATTGTCATGTAAGAGCATTTCTAATGTGAGGACAGTAGCCTATTACAGTACAGTACTGTAAGATTTGTCACTCTGCACATCCAAATGTGTACCATATGTCTTGGGTTGGTGTACCAAGTATCTTTAAGTGCCTGAGTTACCCAGAAAAATATTCTGAAAGTCTGCTACACCATTTTATGAAAGTTCTCCTTTAAATTAACATAGTTAGTTAGTTACAGAGTTAAAAAAATACAGCATAAGAATAATTACCCATTTAGAGTTCACTACAGTGTTATTGCTAGTGTGGTTGTCAGTGTAATCCTGTTCTGTGTGCTTTGAATCTGTGTGCAAGTCTCCAAACAAAGGAGCACTAAAGGCTGAGTGGTAACTGCAGAGCCTTATAATGACATTGTGCTTATAATGGTCCACATTTTTGTGTAATCACATTACACATGTGTGTTTTGGCTAATTTTTTAGGTAAGCATTAACATTTCTAAAAGCCTGCCATTACAAATAATTTAATTTACTATGTTTAATAATGTTTTAATTTTAGTTGGCTACCTCAACAAGACAAACTGAAATATCCATATACACACACACGAAAATATGCATATAAAACTAAGCATACAAAATTAAGGTCAGGATTTGTGTAATATTATTAGAATGTTTCTTTTTAAAAAAAGAAGAAAAGAAAAATAAATAAATAAAAGGAATCCACTACAGTTACAATTATGTATGTAATGTATAATACAAATTTAACACCCAATAGCTTACTCCTGGCTGATTTATGAAATAAAAATGCTTTTACAAACACGTTTTACATTGTACAATCGTTTGTGGAGACACATAGCTGTGTCTAAACTTAAACTTTAAATTGTTTTGTAATGTATTATGTAGTATTAGAACTAGTTATAAAACAAAAGAAGTCTATGCATATTTTAGACAGCTAAGTAAACGTAGCCTATGTTGATGTAGTCTATGGATGCTTATGTAAAACGGGAACAGAAAATTCATTTATTATTAAGCACGGGCCAAAATGCCCTCACTATTTAAAAATGTCCTCATAACAGGCCACAGTTTATGGAAGCCCGTTTACGCCACTAAATAAAAAATATAATTCTGTAAGTCATAATAATGAGAAACTTTCTCAAAATTATGATTAGCGTTAACATCAGTAGGTTCTCCGATAACATGAGCGTTAGTGAGGATGTATCTGTCAAAGAGCAAGAAACCAGTTCCTAAAGCAGACTCCCCCTTACGAATCTGACACACAGAGTCGGAGAGCTTCATGAGCTGCTTCACTTTCTTCACCTTCAAGAAATTCTCAACACTCTTACCATATTCTGCTCTGAAGAACTTCTGGACATCAGATTTGTTCTTCAGTTTCTCTCGCTGCTTTAATTGCTTCAGTAAAACTGGAAACTGATCGCGCAGAATTCCCAGAATCTCTTTAGAATCTGCAATAGGTTTAGTGGCATACCATTTAATTGAAGGATTTGTGGACTTTGTGTTTCCATCATGTTTTTTTTCTTGCTCACTGGTGTTGATGGGATTCTGACTTGAGCTGGCAGTTTCTGCCACATCAGCATCTGAAGCTACGTTAGGTTCAGTCGTGACAGGAGTCAAATCATCTTGACTGTCTGGCTGATTCTTATCACTGAGAACAACTAACTGGAAAGCCTTTCCGTCAAGATTGTCTACAGGATTTGACCATTCATGCTTTAACTCATCACTTAACGCACAGTGTTTCCTGAAAATGTCATTTATGAATCGTCCATCATGTTTAAGAGCAGTTTTGATTTTCTCTCCTTTGAATGCATATACACAGACATATTGTACTCTTCTTCTCAGGGCTTTGCTTTTCAGTAAGAGTCGCACTTTCTGTCCTCCTTCTTTTTTAACCCGGAAGGTGACTAACGTTTCAGGCATACTTGTTTTCCTGAGTGAAGGATCTGCAGTTGTTCGATTTGTACAACTATTTTCATCCTTTTGGATGAAGTCTATATATAAGATCTCATCAGTTTCAATAAGACAGCAGGGAAAATCAGTCTTTACAGCTGCTGTAGGAACGCCTTCTTTACACCTTTGGACGAGTATTTCTTTCTGCTTGTTTTTCTTTTTGTCTTTTTCATTCCTGAACATTTGGCTTGTATTAAGAGCCTCAAGCACAGTCATGGATGTTTTACATGACACTGAAAATATCTTTAATCTATTAAAACAATACTGGAAGTTGTGTGTTTTCACTTCTGCTTCCTGTTAAAAATAGAGGAAAAAACATTTGATATGTACACAAACATTCAAGTTAATTCCACTGAAGAAATTTGTAACCAATGCTTAAGTGATCTACCTGCTGCAGATGTTTTGAAGGTCCCTCTTCAACTTCTTTCTTAAATGAATAATCCATTTTTTTCTTAAGAAAATGTCAACAGTGATGTTAATACAGGCTTATCAATGTCTGCAGATTTTTATCATATTTTTAATCATTAAAAGGCCAAGTAATTTCAGTGTTATGGCTTTTCACACCCAGCATGAAGCAGCAAAGCTAAAATCATAAACTAATGGTCTATTAACGAGGTGGGAAACAGATATGGAAATTATTAACAGTCAAAAACATTTGCTGTGACCAGTGATATTTTATTACAGTTGAAACTGAATGCTATTGATTTAGTCATCTAGTTCATGTTGCTTTTCTCTTTATTTGTGGCTTTGAGAATTTCAGAAAAAAATCATATGGTGGCATTTGGATTAAGCTACTGATTACTTTTTTAGTAATTGATGATTTTTATCTTGGAATATTGATGACCCTCAGGTACTCTGGTTATGCTGTAGATTGTGACAAGTTACCTAAAGCTTTTTGTATCATAGGCCTAAAACACTATAAAACAAAGATCACTGTCACTGTCTCAGTAATGCCGAGTTCACACTGCACGATTTTCAAAGACGTCGCATCACTGTTGGTTTCACACTGAACGACTATCGCTACAAAACCCGCCCAATTACTACTCAAAACTTGCGTTCGGGGGGTAAAATACAAATTTTTTTGGCAGGGTTCTCCTGGTACAATTCACATTCCAGGGCCTAAATATTACGTTATTGGGGTCGCTTCAACCTGCTGACATAAAAAACAACCAGCGGCAATCGCGGATTTGGCAACACTGGTCCACACAAACTACGTTTCATATAACTCCTCCCCGACCTTCCCACTGCCCTGTATTTTGGTCTCTCATTGGCTGTAGGTCATTGCCGATGTGTTTTTCAGTCAGGACTCATTTCACACAGCGTGATTGTGAATCGCCGACAGCTCCAGATATTTAGAATGCCAAATATTTCACAGGCGTCGGCGATTCCCTCAGATCGCGTCTTTGATAATTCACACTGCGTGATTGTCATTCACTGATTTCGGGCATTTGTCGGCGATTTCGCAAAACCTGTCGGCGAGTGAAAAACGCACCCCAGTTTAGTTTCTTTGCATTTTGGTTTTCCCTGTTTTCTGTGTTGCATGTGTTCCAACTGATCATTAGTTTCCATGGTTTCTGATTAGTTTTCACCTGTCATTAGTTCCAGTTAATTAACTTACTCTGTATTTAAGCCCTCATTGTTTTGTGTCTCATCTCGTCTTTAGTTTTGGTTGTGATCTATGTATTACTCCATGTGAGTTTCTGAGTTAGATTAATGATTAAAGACTGTTCTGTGCTATTCCTTGTCATTGTGCGTTTCATTACAGCCACCGATGCTGACAATCACAACCTTACCTGAACACTTTCACTATCTTCTGATGACTCCCCAGATTCACTGTCTGTGGCAGCCTCCTTTTTCTGAAAGAGACATCAACATTACCATTGGAAATAAGTCACAGGACTCGAAAAGAAGCTCGAAATTTCAAGTTTTTTGGGTGATTCTTTAGACATGTTTTGTATCTATGAATAGAACAAACAATGGTGATCTGAGCTTCGAGGAGAAAGACTTGTAACTTAAGCTCACCTTTTAACAATATTACCTTAACACTAGAAGTAGTCAAATTCTACTCTTATTTTTCTGCTGACAATTTTAATTAATGAATTGTTCTTGTTAGCTTCTTCACACACTCTTAATTTTTGCTTTGGCAAGTCTCAGTCACTATGAGACAAAACAAAAAAGATAAAAAAGGTTCTCAAACTCTAGTCTCTCTTAGTTTAGTTGGTGAAAGGATTAAAAAATTTCAAAATACAGTGTATTTCCTGTAGATAACGTGGTTCTCAACCTTTTTGCCCCCAAGGCCCCCCTATAAGGAAATATTCCAGAGCCACCACACAAGACTTTTTGACCTCATTGTAGTAAATTCCCATTCATAGCAAACATATGAGAGTGGAGTAACATATTATCTAAAATCTAAGGAGGAGAATGGGTTTCCTCTTATGGTTCTACATGGTACCATTTGACAAAGGCGCTGTTTAACACATTTAAAGATAGGTGCTACAGTATATAGCACTTAAAGTGGTTCCCCTATGATAACGAGCCAATTAACCACTTTTAGTGCTATTTAGCAAAATTCTTCAGATAGATAGATAGATAAAAACTTTATTGTAATAATTTAAATCATATTGTGCATAAAAACACCTATTTTGTTAGTACATACAATTTGGTAAATGGGGAAGGGGGGGGGGGGTTACTGTATGGTTATTGAAATCGCAAAAAGACCTTAATTATTAAACAAAATGAAAAATACATTTAGCCCTACATTTCATGTACAGATATGGCTTTTCTTCTAACAGCGCTGCACGAACTCGCGGCATCATCTGCGGATCAGAGTTCAAAGCGCTAGTAAGAATCAGTGCTGAAAAGGTGCTACTGCCCAGTTGCCTGGTGACTTTTTTTTATGAATTACAGTACCTTAATTGGGGACTGGATCATGGCAGTAGTAGCAGACAACTGTCAAACTGTTTTTTTTTTTTGGTCTAATTGACAGGTTTTAATTTAGGTAATTCTCTTAAATGGGTCCTATTATGCTTTTTCACTTTTTCAACTTTAGTTAGTCTGTAATGTTGCTGTTTGAGCATAAAAAAAGATCTGCAAAGTTACAAAGCTCAAAGTCCACTTCAAAAGGAGATATTTTATTTAACAGAAATCACTTTTCAAAAACTACAACGAACGGCACATTTCGTATTTCAGAAGGCGGGCCTTCATTTGATACAGGAACTATTCGAGCCGTTCATGCCAGACTACGGAGAAAGGTGTTGTAATAATGTAAAATATGTGAAAAATAATGTTTTTTTCGAACAACCTAGTATGAGAGCCTGTTCTCGTACACCCCCAAAACAAAATCAAGACTTTGTAAAAGAGCATGATAGGACCCCTTTAAAATAAACAGGTTGGCCTATAGCCTTCTTTCCTTAATTTTTTCTTTCAGTTTGATCAAAATATATATATTGGTTTTATTAGTGAAATGCTCTCAATGTTATCTATACAACACTGAACCACAATTTATTTAATAGGCTAAAATATACACACTATGTTTAATTATCACCTTAATTTTTTTTAAATAAAAATTACAAGATTCATGGTTACATTTTTTTGTACAGTGACATTTCCAGTTGGAATTTAATGTTTAACCAAAAGATAATTTTCTTCATTATAACTGGCAGACCTTTTTAATCAAATAATACATGATACTGACTAATATATACTTATTTAAATAAGTATTAACATTTGTTATAAATTAATATGTTTATAAATAAATAAATATATAATATTTATATTTACAATAAATATATATAAAATGTTTGTTTTCCTGTCATTCACTGCAAGCGGCTCTAAGCGGCAGCCTCCTCTGACGTCTGGTTTTTAGCCCTAGTGACGTCAGGTACAGCCACTTCCTGCTAGCAGCTGCTGATTTTTGCTGAACCAGTTTCGATTCACACTATGCTCTGTGGTTGTATCGCTAATAATTTGCATTTGCTTACGCAGTTTGCACCAACTATCTTCCCAAATTCGTCATGAGAATCGTTTAAATCTTTATATCTGTTGTCAAAGACTACAGATGTTAGCCTAGGATTATAGGAATCTTTTAGGATTTTCAAAATGTGTCTCAGATGACCAAATCGTGGCCAGAATCGCCCAGTGTTTGGTTTCCTGCCAAAATAATAGCTGCGTTTTAAAGAAAATAAGAAATGTTGATTGTAATCATGTTAGTATGGTAATTTTACTCGTTTTGTAAAATCAAAAAAAATAATGATGATAATTATTGTTTATAATGATACAATAATAATAATAACTACCTGATCGTTCCTGGTGTCTGTATTTCTTTCTCTTTGGTTTCCTCTCTTCTGCTCTTCTCATCTGATTTCCTGCTCTTCAGTCCACGCCTAGAAAAGATCATTTGAAGTACAAGAATTTATGATGAAACACTTCTAAAGACAGAGGTTTGTATTCTTTAGGAGTCAAGAAAAGGCCAATATACTTTGTCAAGTTTGGTTAAAATAAATTATTTTAAATATTTCACTTTTTCAAATAAATAACTTCTATTATTCACAGTCGGAATGATAGCTTCTTTAATGTAAGTATAGATGTATCCAGTTAGTTATCTAAGTGCATTTGTAGTTATCAGCTGTTTTCAGCCCATCTGTATGGTTATGGTGCAGTTTAACTAGCAAACTGGTGGTGATTTTACTTGATTATTATTTATTTAATTTTTTACTTATTACGTTTATTTTATTTTTTGAGTCAGTTAGTTGTCTGTGGTCAGACATAGTATTTAGTTTTTCAACAGTAAATGATTTGTGTGATGATATTGTAACACCAGCTATAATAAAACAACCAGAGTCACACAAATTCTGAGGGGGATCATCCACCAACTATATTTTAACATTTTTTCCTTTTCAACTCCAGTACAATATAAACCCAAAAGAAACAGAAAAATACCCCATTGAACCTGATCACATACAGACATAAAACCACACTCCCTTATAACAGTCTCCTTAAAGGAGTAGAGAATCACACCCAACAAAATGTCTGTGCACTTCCCTGCATAGGCCCACTGAACCCTTTTAACATACTGTGAATATATATTGGGCCTATATAGTAAAAATAATGTACATTTATAACACTCTTTTACCCTGCCATTAAATTCCACAACTATGGGGTTTTCTATAACAGCTGTTGGGTGAGTGACTGTATCAGCCGAGCAATTTGCCGATACAAAGGCCAATCAGAGGCGTTCAGATGAGTCACCGCTGAAACACGCTGTTCCGTCACTGCGCGCGCTGGCTGACTGAAATCTCTGGCTAATTATCTCATCAGAAACAACAAAGTGAAGATGTACGAATGTAAGTAAGATATAAATTTTACAGTGTGAACAGCTTTAGAGATTATTATGGGAGTTTTTGAGAGTGCTTGAATTCGCTGGACTGAAGTGAAAATGTTCTTTGATAGTGTAAACGTTCTTTGCTGTCTTTTTGTACAATGAAAGTGTTATAGGCTAATTAGTAACTTACAATGTTTTTATTAACTTCACATTAAATACAAAGTCAGTCGTATTAAATATATTTAATAGTATGACACTATATCTGGTACTTAAGTAAAAAGACAATGTTTTATGCAAAGTTAATAGATTAATACTATTAGGCTACTTTACTGGAAAAAATAAAATAAAAAAATAAAACCCCTGCTGAATAAAACATGGTTATATGTAGTGGTTTTGCTGGTTATAATGGGACTTGTATTGGTTTTACTGGAAACTGTAATGAACCCTGTTGGCCTCTACTGGTAATAGGTTGCCTTCTATTGGTGGCTTGTTAAAACCAATAAATCCTAATGGAATATGTCCCAAAACACACTACAGAAAACCATTTTTAATGGTTTTAATGGTTACAAATGTATTGTTTGTAATGCTATTTGTTGTGGAAATCATTACAATTTTATGTGATGGTTTCATTGTTTTGATTTTTTCAATGAAAAAATCATTTCATACTGGGGGGGTTCAGTAGAGACATACGCCTATATCTGTTTGTAGCTGGTGTGTCATATGACATATTTTAGTTGACATTGTTATAGACATCCCCAATCATCTCAATCAAATTTCCCAATCATCTCAATGGCCATTTTCCCCCAATTTACCAAATTCACCTATTTCACAGTAAGAAAGAAGTGACACCTAGAGGACGGTTGAAGCCCCATTTTTAAAATCACATACACTAACATAAAATAAGATACAAGTTAATAACAGAGCAGTGTTTGGCTTACAGTTTTTATCAGTGGTTCACAAATACGCTGTAAAAAAATATTTTGAATTTATTTTAAATTGAAATAAATATAATTGACATAAGTGTACTTTTTTAATTGCTATTCGTCTTATATGATCCTACTAATTTGAAATTTGTACAGAAATGACCTTCCATTCCAGTTGCAACTGGCAGTGTAGGTTAAATCTGAATATATAATCACATCTCACATTATGTAGACTGCATAGTGTCAGTAGATTGATTAACTGGATCTATAAGATCAAACTATTTGGACGTATAAAACATGCCTGCTCAATATGCATGCACAACATATTATTAATGCACACAAAGCATATATTAAATATGCCGGTGCTTTTTAAAAGTTTTTAACTGCCCTTTCTTTTGAGATAGTAATTTAGAACAGCCATCTGAAATAACAAAGTAACAAGAAAAAAATCAAAATACCAAAGGTAATTATTTAGTTAAAGTAGTTAAGGTGACTTTCAACCGAAAGTTGAAACGAAACGTTAAACATTTGAATCCAGCCTTATTGGGATGACATCATCGGTTCTCAGCTATTTATCATAACCATATTACATCGTCTTCCATGGAGCTTCTTGATCCTTTGCATATATTTTTCCCAGATTCCAAAATAAGGGACAACAAAATCCTGATTTACTCTTTCACAACATTCATTAATCTGATTAATCTTTATTCAGATCAATCAGTCACCTTGATTTATGGGGTCCAGAATAAAATGTTTTATTGGTGGGCCTCTTGCATACAGTCTCCCCTCATCACAGGGTTCTCTGCCTTAAAGGATACCAGATAATCCATGTCTGACTCAGTGGCTGTTGGCTGCTGGACGGGTGGGGGCCAGCGTTTCTCAAATTTGCTGAAGAACAGTGGGTCGGTGAAGGGCCCTCCATACACAATGGTTTGCAGCAGGTAGACCAGTGCCACCACTAGGCTGGAGACCAGAAAGAAGGGAATGAATGGACGAAGATGTGTCCACACAACTCCCATACCATAACTAAGTCCACCATGGTCACGGTAATGGGTAGTCTTACGGGATGTCGATGATGGTGGAATGGGCCAATCGAGGCTATTTGAATCCATGTAATTGGAAGACTCTGGATCAATGGAATCCATGGTTGATGGTTATATATTGATGGTTGATCCACCCAGCAAATCAAAATGAACAATAATTAAATACTATGGAGAATCCAACAAAGGTAGTCAGCATTTCCTGAGTATTGCATGATCCTGTGCGTCTTAAGGCGATCTGTGGTCTACTCAGTCAGATCTTGACAGATGAAACACAATTTGCAGAGAACACTCTAGAGGACATTGCATATAGAATGAAGAACACTGCATCGAAGAGGCCTACTGTATCCTATAATGTAAAGTACTTGACATTCTATTTCCAATTCAGAATGAGGTAATCGTATACATTTGAAAACATATAACCCAAGTAATCTTGACATGTGATAGTAACGACAATCTTGAATTTATAAAAATGAAATGTATTTAATTTATTAAATAACATCCATTTTGATAATAGAAAAAAAAATTAATTTGCATTCTTGTAAATGTATTTTCTTAGAAAAATATATATTGTAAAATATATGTTATTAATTTGTATAGAAATAAAGCTTTAAAAATCTGAGGGACAAGATTAAAATAGACAAATTGTAGCAGATTTAACCTTTTATGCACTCAAACCATTAAAGAAAGTAAAAGAAATTGCATCTATGATGATCCACCTTTTAAAATGGAATTGAATGAAATCTTTAAACTTGCACTTCAGAAGTTCCTCTAATTGAAGAATCACCCTTAAACATAAAATGAGATTAAAATGCAAAATAACTGTCTCTGTACAGAAGGCCAGAGTGAAATTCTTCTCCCGTTCACTTGCTCTGAGGGAGGAGAAGTAAAAAAAAAGCTAAGGGAAAGAAGCGATGAACAAGTGCACAGAAAGCCAGGCCATCACTCCAAGAAGAAGAGAAGTTTTCTATGTTGACACCCTTTGAGATACAAAATATAATGAAAATAACCAGATCTCACAGGAATTTTTTTTAAATTATTATTTTATGAGGTGGCAAATTTCATATGAATTTGTAGGATTTTTATTTAAAAAAATGTAGGATTACTCCACTATAGGTCATACTAGCCTAAAGTGTTTTGCTCATACTAATGAATGTAGTTTTGTTGGTGAGCACATACTCTCAAATATACCTAAAAATACCATTGTAAAATTCTATATGGCATCCACCCTGACTAGGGTATATAGATTTCTTAGTTCTCCAATATAACATTCTTATTAGAACCTGTTTATAAATGTGAGTGTTTACAAAATGTGTGTTTCTTAGGAATTTTTAACTTACCTCATATTTCTGTGTTTTGTTCCTGCACCACTGGAGAATTTTCTGTTTAATTGATGCTCCACCAGCCATACCTATAGCTGTCTGTTGAACTTTAAAGTCTCTGACACATGGAGTCCTACAACAAACCAACATATACTATTTACACACATCAGACTACAAATCCTACAGCAACAGCAGAGAGATACTACTGAACAAATGGACCTATTTAATAAACATAATTCATTGCTGATTATGACAGTATTTTTATTTTTTTACATTAAAGAATAGCAATTGTGTGGGTGATCAAACGTCAAAGCACGTGGTATTGTGACTAGTGGTCTATATGATTATGAGGTTTCTTACAATGATAAAGAAATATACCATCATTAGTAGGGTGTTAATAAGATGACTTACTGGTCCTTCTGAAACTTGGCCATGGCATCTCTTCTAGTCGAGGGTCGAGCAGATGACTTGGTGGGGGCTCTAAGAGCAAAGGTTGGAGCTGTTCCACTTTTTCTTCCCAGAATTTCTGACTTGTTCTTGATATCATCTTTAGTCTCTTTTTTCTCTTTTATTTTTCTTTAATTTTGTTGATTTTTAGTTTTGCCTTCAGTTTCTTTTGTTCTCTTGTCCTCTTCTTTGTGCTTTGCCTCAGGTTTTCCTTCTTTGTTGCAGGAATCATTCTCTTTCCTGTGAAGGTCATTGTTACTCTTCTTTTCTTCTTCTTCTACCACACTTTTTTATTTTCATTTACTCCTGTCTCT